TGTTTAGGCTAGTTAATAAAGTACTTTTCAAAAGTGTTTTTTGTTACCCTTAGAAAAGGCATTTCGAATAATTTAGAAATTGTAACTTTTCAAATAATTCACCTAAAATAACTAAAATGACTATAAGATAATTCAAACACTTATAAAGATGGCTTATCAATTTATAGTATTTTTAAGGGAAATCTTAAAAAAAATCTCATTATTTCGGAAAAAGTTACATTTAAGTCATAAATTTTTTTTTTTGAATAAAAAAACCCAACAAACCGGATAAACCTTACATTTTAACTCTTTTTTTACCTTTTCAGCCGGTAATCCCTTGTGTAGCATGCCAAGTTGGAAGGGGATGCTGATGTGTCATCTGATTTGCCATGCCTTGTCAGCATAAATCAATTTTCTTTAAAAATAATGAATTTTTGTAAGGAAAAGAGGGAGATAGGTTTCGAACGCATGTTACCAATTAAGCTAGAAGTCACATATGTATTATATCCTTCACATCTATATATAATCTTTATTTATTTTCATTAAAGTTGGAAGGGGATGCTGATGTGTCATCTGATTTGCCATGCCTTGTCAACATAAATCAATTTTCTTTAAAAATAATGAATTTTTGTAAGGAAAAGAGGGAGACAGGTTTCGAACGCATGTTACCAATTAAGCTACAAGTCACATATGTATTATATCCTTCACATCTATATATAATCTTTATCTATTTTCATTAAAGTTCAACAAAAGATTTTTTCTGGGAGAAAAAGAAGCCAAGGAGAATCGATCCAACGACCTACCCCTCACAAAGCACGTCTGCAACCAACTAAGCTAGATCCATTTTGTGGTTTACTCTCTTCACAGTGGTATATATCTATTAAACTCTTAAGAAATAACTTCATTTATTATTATTATTATTATTATTAAAACGCAAACGTATATATAGTGATTATATGTATTTTGTAAAATAAAAAACGTGTATATATATATGAATAATAAATGTAATTTTTTTTTTGAAGTTTAGATATATATTACTGTTTTTTTTCGAAGTTTATATATATTTACGTTTTTAAATATAATAAAAATAAAAATAATAATAATAATAATAATAATAAATGCTTCAGCATTTTGAGCATTATATCGAATGTTGAGGAGAGTAATTAACAAAAAGTTAATAGTGTAGTGGAAAGTGGTTGGCATTTTTAGTGGTAGGTTGTGGGTTCGATTCCCGTTTTTCTCATTTTCAATGAAAAGCTTCAGCATTTAATACATTATATACAAAATTTAAGGGATAAAATCAAGATATGATGTCTAGCCTAGTGGAAAATATGTTTGGTTGTATGTGTGAGGCTGTGGGTTCGAATCCCACTCCCCTCATTTTCTCATTAAAGTCAAAATTTTGCATTTCAAAGAATATGTGGCATGCCACGTCAGCATCCACATCAGCCCTTGTCCAGTTGGCATGCCATGTGGCATACGTGGCCTGCTCAACATGTCAAAAAGGATTAAAGTGTAAGGTTTATCCGGTTTTTTGGGTTTTTTTATTCAAAAAAAAAAATTTAGGACTTAAATGTAACTTTTCCCAAAAAAAAAAAGATTTCCCTATTTTTAATCCAAACATTTTTTTTTAAATAAAATAAATAATAATAATAATAATAAATGTTACCACACTAGCTAATAAGCACTTTCATCAAAAAAATATGTATCGAGTTAAATAAACAAAATCTCAAACACCCCCTTAGACCATTTACATCGGTCTTTTAAACTCCTTGCAAATGAAAAATTGAAAGTCCGCGTAGGATCTCCTCTTGCTATACTTGAAAGTAGAGTTGTAAACGAACTGAACGTTCAACGAACTGTTCGTGAACCGTTCGGCGGAAAGTTCGTTTATATTCGTTTATTTAATAAACGAATGAACATGAACAAAAATTATCGTTCGTTTAGTTAAACGAACGAACATGAACAATGGTCTCGTTCGTTCAATTATGTTCGTGAACGTTCGTTTATGTTCGTTCATATAAATTCATTTTATGTTCACATATGCTTAATTGTGTTTGATTACATTAGTGTATTATATATTCATTTATGTTCATATATCTTCAATTATGTTTTTTTTTATCTTTGTTCATATATGTTTGTTTCTTTATGTTCGTTTAGCATATTCACGAACATAAAACGAACGAACATGAACAATGTAATTTGCTAAACGAACGAACATGAACAAAAAAACTCGTTCGTTTATCCGTTCGTGTTCGTTTATTTGTTCGGCTAACTTAAACGAACGAGCATGAACAAGTCTTGTTCGTGTTCGTTTACAGCCCTACTTGAAAGCCTTGCAAAGGCTCTAGTTGGTCTCACTATATATATTTAAATCATTTTCATATATTAATATGTTAGTTGTTAATATAATTATACATTAGATACACTTTAATTTATTTATTTAATCTACAAATATATTAACATTGATAATTGATAATTACACATTTTAACTTATTATATTTATGTTATAGCGATTCATACGTCGATGATCCTCAATTTTCTTTAATAAATTAACTTTATATATATATATATATATCTATATATATATATATATATATATATATATATATATATATATATAGGGTTGATATCGGTTGAGAACTCAAAGTTTCCTGAGAACCCGAAAACTAAAAGTGGAGCGTTGGATCAAAATTAATTCATTAAGGACATGATCGTCATCTTACCAATCTCATTTAATGTTTAATTTTCTGTGTTATTGAATATATTAATATAAAGTTCTAAAAATTTACATAATAAATCAAATTTTCAGATTTTTTTAAAACTAATATTTTTCGATTTTTTTTTTAAAAGTGCATATTTTTTAATTTTTTATAAAAAACATGAATTTTTGAAAAAAAAACTGCAATTTTTTTTAAAGAAAACTGTATTTTTTTCAAAAAAAAAACTGCAATTTTTTGTTAAAAAAAACTGTATTTTTAAATAAAAAAAACTGCATTTTTAAATAAAAAACTGCAATTTTCTTTAAAAAAAATGCATTATTTTTCAAAAAAACTGCATTTTTTTTTCAAAAAAACAGCAATTTTTTCAAAAAAAACTACAATTATTTCAAAAAAACCGCACTTTTTTAAAAGAAAACTGTATTTTTTTCAAAAAAAAAAAAACTGCACTTTTAAATAAAAAAAACTGTAATTTTTTTCAAAACAAAAAAACTACAAGTTTTTTAAAGAAAGCTGCATTTTTTTCAAAAAAAAAACTGCACTTCTTTTTTTTTTAAAAAAACTATAATTTTTTCAAAAAAACTACATTTTTTTAAAAAGTAAATTTTTAAAAATCAATAAATTAAAAAGAAAACTAGAATATTTAAAAAATACTCTTGTTTTTTAACAATAAAAATCAAAGTTTTAGGTGCATATACATATTTCTTATACTATAATATTCGTAAGTAAATCATAAAAAATCGCATTTTTATTAATAGTACAAGTATTTCATTCGATACAAACATAAGAGTGCGTTTGGTTGGCAGGAAAGGAATGGAATTCGAGGGAAAAGGATTTCAATTCCCTCGAATTCATGCGTTTGGTTGGACTTAGAGGAGGGAAAAACATTCCTAAATGAAATAAACTTTCCACCATATGGAGGAAAGTGAATTCCTTCCAAAGTTGGATGGAAAACATTCATTCTCCTAAAGGAAAGTGGCAGATTACAAAAATACCCCTTGTACTTATCAAAAAACCCACCACCACTACCACCACCACCATCACTAACCGCTACCATCGCTGCTACCACCACCCCCACCAGCCGCCACTGCCACTGCAACCACCAGCACCATCACCGTCGTCGTTGTCGCCACCAGCTGCCACTGCCACCATCACCACCACTTCCGCCACTACAATCAATGCCACCGCCACCATCACTACCACCGTCGCCGCCACAATCACTGCCGAAATTTTACTGTTTTTATAATTTTCATACTGTATCTTTACATATAAGTTAGAAAACAAGGTAAAATTAAGAAAAACAGGCAAAAAAGGGTAATTATGTCATCTTACATGAATTTCAATTCCATTTCCTGCGAACCAAACAGAATCTGGAATTAATTCCAATTCCACTTCCTGCCAACCAAACAGCATATGGAATTGGATTCAAATTCCTGACAGATTCCTTTTCCAATTCAAATTCAAATTCCTTCAGCAACATTCTGCGAACCAAACAACACCTAATACTACAAGTATTTCATTCGATACAAAATAAAATATAAAAAATAAAAAATGCTACAAATTGCAAAGTGTTTTCATGTCTTCGTGTCAATATTTCCTTATTTTCTTCAATTTATCATTTTTCACATCTTCAATATTCACCAAAATTTCTTCCGAATCTACAAGAAAATTAAAAAAAAATGATTGATGCAAAAACACTCACAAAAATACATATGTGATTTTCATGTGATTAACATATGAATCACATGCGATTCACATATGAATCGCATGTGATTCACATATGAATCACATTTACATATGACATCATATCTAAATCACATGTAAATCACATGCGATTCACATATGAATCACATGTGATTCACATGTGAATCATATGTGAATCACATGTGATTCAAATGTGAATCATATGTGATTCATATGTGAATTACATGTGATTTACATGTGAATCACGTGTAATTGTGATTGACATGTGAATCATATGTAATTCATGTGTGGCCAACTTGTGATTTTCATGTGAATCACATCTTATTCATATGTGAATTACATGTGATTTACATGCGAATCGCGTATAATTGCGATTTACATGTGAATCACATGTGATTTTAATGTGAATTACATGTGATTCATATGTGAATTACATGTGAATCACGTGTAATTGTGATTTACATGTGAATCACATGTGATTCATATGTGAATTACATGTAAATGACATGTAATTCATATGTGATTTACATGTGAATCACTACACACTTATAGTCATGTTCAAGTTGTTGTTAAGAAAATGTATATGTAGATTGTGAATTATTGGTTACTGGTAAAAATATTGCCATCAACAAGAAGAAGAACAAGTGGCACCAATCTACAATACAGAAGGCCCATAGATGTGCCCACAACATGAACAACCTGATAAAAAAGAATAAACCATTTAAACCAACAAAACATCCAGAATGGAAAAAAAAAGATAAAGAGTAAAATTCACCTCAAGCTCAGAACAATCTGATTTCAAAGTCTCATTTGATTCATTGTTATATGAAGATGGGACAATTTTTTGAATTGTTTTTCCCTCTGAGATCGATCTGTAAATGAAAAACCATTAATAATCAATAGAGAAAAACATGTAACAAGATGCAATTTGATGATTGATGTGAATTACATGTGATTTACATCTGAATCACGTGTAATTTACATGTGAATCACGTGTAATTCATATGTGAATCACATGTAATTCATATGTCAATCACATGTGATTTTTATCTTGTTTTTGTTTTGATGGCTTTCATTTGATATATTGATAGAGTAGTTTCTTACATTTGATGATTGATGTGTTTACTTGCAGCCACTTGCCTTAGTATACCACTAGCTTTGTTGAAGAAAGCCATATGTACTCTAAAATTGCAAATAGATTCATTTTAGGATAAAGAAAAATGAAAAAAAAAAGAGCCGAAGTCTTGGGACCAAAATTGTAATTTACTCTAAAATTAAATACTATGAAATCTTAATATAGAATTATAAACTAAAATTTATTTTTGGAAAATAACATGAAATAAGTTTAACTTAAGTCTTGAAATATTTTAAAAACAATATTTTTTTAATTAACCGTGTATAAATAAAAGTAATTTATGAATGAAAATCATAATCACATTATCTGGAAGAATGCTCCATTCCATTCCCATGTTGCAAACAAACCTGATTTTCCATTCCATTCCATTCCCTCTTCAATTACACATATCAAACACAATCTAAAAGTAATTAATTAATCACCATAAAGAAAAGAAAAGAAAAAACACACAGAAGAAGCTCAACAAGGCGTCTGCATACACCTTCCTCAATCACAACTTGAATTTTATCATTTGTTCCATCAGATAAATAAGAAAATTTAGCCTACACCTGCATACACCTAAAAAAATATGCATATATTCCTGTTATTGAATTTTATCAATTGTTCTCATAAGCAAAGTAAGGTAATTCATCCTAGAAAAATATAAAATGATGGAAGTAAATGTCCTGTTCTTTTTACATTGGGGGCATTATTGGAAATGTGCAGGCTTTTTTGGAAGAGCTTGCATCTACAGAACGAAGAGCAGAAACAGAGCATGCTGCACACAATGCTACCAAGATGGTATTATTCACATGTCTTTTACTTTTTTCTTTCATACTCTTTTATTTTTCTTTATTTTTTTAAATAAAGTGATGATGATTTATATAATTAATTAATATTTAATAGGCTGCAATGGAAAGGGAAGTAGAACTGGAACACCGAGCTATTGATGCATCCACAGCCTTAGCCAAGATCCTGGTATTCTCAAGATGTATTTTTCTTTTGTGTCATACCTTATATTAGTTAAACCCTTTTAAATGTGGAATATACAAAAATTGATTTATAAAAATGATGATTAATGTGTAATAGTTTTGAATTGTGCTCTGTGTGTATTAGAGAACAACTGATGCGAGGACTGCAAAAGTAGTGGAGCTTGAGCAGAAGGTGGCACTACTTGTTCTTATAATTTTATTAAGAACAAGTACGAGATCATTCAAAATAATACTTGAAACTTAGAGTAAATTAGGGTTTTATGATGTACCTTCCTAGAAATTTAGATTCAGTTTCAACATAACAGTCGATCATCTGCTGATTAGTGGTGCCTTCACTGTCGGGCTTATCCATCACGATTATATGCTCGTAATCACATCCGGGGAACAGCGGCGCCATCTCCGTCGGTGGTCGATCACTGAAGCTCAAACCAATCCACATATACCTATTTAAAAACCAACGCTTATCTCAGGACAAAATTGAACTAAAAAAATGACTCCATTGCCAAATCAAACACCAATTGGACCACAATCAAACTCACCTTTGATCAATGAGATAAAGCCGCTCATCATCGAGGTCGGACAGACTCTGGATTGAACGGATGGTGCTGCTGCTTCCGAACATCGAGTCGTCCTCTGGCTCAGAGACCGGAGCGATCAGACCTCTGGCTGATTTATTAGGGCACGGAACTTCGAGTGGGACGAATGATGCAACCACCACGTTGTTTAATCTATCAATCATCGGGGGATCTTCAATGAAGGTGGTGGTTGTTGACAGAGGTAGGGTGGTTGTTGGAGGGAGGAGGGAGGCGGTCGACGAAGAGGGAGGATGTTGGTGAAGAACACGATACATTGAGAGAGAGAGAGAGAGAGTATTAGATCTGAGTGTTTAGGGACGTGATAATATAATACCTGATTTACCCTTGTGATATTTGTTAAAAACACATATACACCATTCAGACTTTTCTTAATTACCAGATTGCCATTAAAAATCTCAGACCTTAAAAGTTTTGATCTAATGGTCCACTTTTAGTTCTCGAGTTCTCAGGAATATATGAGTTCTCAAATGATCCTTCTTCTTCTTCTTCTTCTCTCTCTCTCTCTATATATATATATATATATATATATATATATATATATATATATATATATATATATATATATATATATATATATATAAATTGTTGATGTGGTAGTGGGGACCACTTTTGAAAGATGAGTGTTATTGTACTTGTAAGTAGTCATTGCAAAGTTGATGTGGCACAGTTGAAAGATTAGTGACATTCCACTAATATGGATAACCTTAGCACAAGAAAGTCCAAGTAATCTATGCACGTCATCAGATGTGATATTTTAATGTCGTGGTATTGGTATGAGTCCAAAGCTGAAAACACACATCTTGAACTAGCATCGACATGTACATCATGCCTAAAAAGTAGTACAATAAAAAAAAAGTAGGCATTGTTCGAGAAAGATTCACTTACGAGTTTTCCTTCAACAACTAAAGTATAAATGTATAAATACTTATATATTATTAGGATAAAACTGTAAAATTGGTCCCTTTAATATTTAAAAAACTTTGGATATGGTTCAAAAAGTTTTCAACTTTTATGGAAAGTCCAAAATCAGAAACTTTCCTTGGTTTTAGTCCCCGAAAGAGTTAAAATGATTTTTATGCCCTTTTAACTTCTTTTTAAATTTTTCTTTATTTATTTAAATTGTTTTATAATTAAAAAATTAAAAAATTAAAAAATGGGCCCTACAACACCCCAGTTCATCCTATATTTCCTCTCCCTCTATCGCTCATCAAAAAGTCATTGGCGTCATTTGCTCTCCATTCTCACCCACCTTTCCCGTCGAGAAGCCCTAACGTCGCCGCCCTAATGTCGCCGCCGACCGCCTAGATTTCTTGTCGTCCCTCATCGTCAGTAAGTATCTTACTTCTCATCGCATCTATTCCCCTTATCCTTTTTGAACCAATGGATTCACGTCTTGAAGATTGAAACCTGCTATCATGAAACCTCGATGGTAAAACCCCATTGTGGACATCTACAAGTTTTCTGCCATTTCATCTTCAAGAATCTACCTCCCAACCCCGTTGTCGGCATCCTCCCGTCATTTGTGCAGCCTCCTGATGATTGAATCCCACTGCAGGATTCCTAAACACAGCTCTGATGAAACCCCCTTCCACTTCAGGAGGTCAAATTAAACTTTGAACTATGTATCGCCTTTCTGGAGAAGTTCAGGTTTGTGAAACTCTAATTTGTATAGACAATTGAGATGTTCACATTGAATCAAAAGAAAAATAAAGTCGATGTGTGTATCAGAGAAAAAGAGGTGGTGAAAGACCCACACTTTCATATTTGACAATTGTTACTCCGAAACATGCTACGTGCATATTCATAAAAACAATATTTTATATTGATAAAGTGATTACAAACTACTGGATACAAACCAACTATTTCAAAGTGTTATATATTACATAACTTCCCAGGATTCTATAGATTTATACATATGGGAGTGCAAAATACAATAGTTTCAAACTATTCGAAAATCTTCTATCAGTATATAACTATACTGGAAGCTTATCTCCTGCAATTTGTTAAACATTGAGAGGGTAAGCGGTGCCGCTTAGTGAGTTCAATAATAGATACAATATAACGTTATGTCATATATATACTTCAATATGGCAGCAGCAAGGAGGAACAAGGAACAACAAAGGCATATGTGAATCATGTGACAAACTTTCCATATCAATCATTGATTTGATTCAAAGATATACAATCAATGAGACATAACAATTTCCATACTTGATATACATCAATAAAGCTTTGGCCCAAATGGCACAGAAGACATACAACTTCGGATTAACATTTTGGTAGATTTCAGGCTTATAGCCCTGTCTAACCTTCTGCCAATACCATAGAATAGAAGTCATTCTCTTACGGAGACATGTTCTACATGGCCAGAGGCTACATACCAGTACCAATGTGAATCTAAGTCCTTTCACTGATCACATGGTCAAAGGTATTACTTTGCTATTAAACATAGCGAATAAAAATAACACGGGAAAATAAACCGGAATAATAACACTGAAAAGCACATAGCACATATAACACATAACATACAATTGTTCCTATATATTAAACTCACCGTGAAATAACAGGGGGTTAAAATAGTAATTTGGGCAGCACTTCATTACTATAATTAGCTTTCTTCGTTGAAAACCGGAAGTTTTCTTGAAAACCGGGCCCTGCGAGGGTTGGGCTTCGAAACCGAAAAGATAAATTTTTCGGGCTTCTCGGGAATTTCAGGGCGTGTTTCGGGCGTCGGAATTAATACCGGGGCTTCGGGGGATGTCAAAGTAGTGAAAATATGGAAAAATGGTGAAAAAGGGCAAATTTCCAAAGTTTACCCGGGAGATCTCGCAGCTACTATTTATAGTAGCGAGGTCCGGATCCGAAGCGAGGGGAAGAAGGCAGGTGTCTGCGAGGCTCGGAACACGCGGCTGCTTGGGCGAGGCTCGGATGCGAGGGTCGGACAGGTGTGCGCTTCGGATTGGTCGGATGACGCAGCTACTTGCTTCGGATCGGGCTAGCATCCTCGGTCGAATCAGGAAACAACACGCTGGTCGGGCATGAGGGACGCATGCGAGAATCACGTGATGGACTTCGGACACCTGTGCGACACGCGTCACTTCTCGGACGCGCCACGCAGCTGCTTCAGACATGTGGCCATCTCAGAGCGAGGGTGACGTGGCTGGCACTATTCATGCGAAAATTCTCGAAAATTGTGCCCAATCTTGAAAAATCATAACTTCCTCATACGAAGTCAGATTTTGGCGTTCTTTTTATCAAAATTCTCGGTTTAATGAATACTACGACTTTCATTTAGATCACTAAGGCTAAAAAGTAGTTTATCAAAAACTCACTTTTTACGTCATTCGGCACCGTACCGGTTTTGTCGCGGATCTTCGATTGGTCATAACTTCTTCGTTATAACTTGGATTTCGATGAGGTTTTCGCCTACATGTTTCTAACGAGATTATCTACAACTTTCAATAATAAAATTTTACTTATTTCAAATTTTATATTTTCGCTAAATTTCACTATTTGACTTTTAATTGGAATCTCATAAGACTTCCAATAATTTATGAGTGATTCTAAACATAGTTTTACTTCATTTCTTGTAAAAACTATCTGTTAGAACTCAATACTCAATATCACATAATGTTTCATAATATTATTTACTTACAACACGATTTCAAAACGTGTATGTTACAGGTGGGTTTGGATTTGAAATCAGATGCAATGTGTTTTGGGTTTTGTGGATTCCAAATTTGGAACTAGAAAATAGATTCCAGGTGGGGTGATTCAACGCTACGGAGAGAGGGAAGCAAAGACCAGGTCGGTCGGTCGGTCGTGCTCGACTTTTGAAGAGTTACCAGCGGTGGGTTTGGATTTGAAATCAGATGCAATGTGTTTTGGGTTTTGTGGATTCCAAATTTGGAACTAGAAAATAGATTCTAGGTGGGGTGATTCAACGCTACGGAGAGAGGGAAGCAAAGACCAGGTCGGTCGGTCGGTCGTGCTCGACTTTTGAAGAGTTACCAGCGGTGGGTTATTTTCATTAGTGTCAAAAACCACCAACCACTGTGTTCTAATACCACACAAGTCAACTGAGTAGATATTCCTAATTTCTCAGGCTTTGTAAGCGATCATGAATTATGTGTGTGTCTTTGAGTTGCAGGTTTTGAATCATTAACTATGTATATTTTTTAGTTTTTAATGTATTTATATATGTGATTTGGTTGGGAGAGAGAGAGAGAGAGAGAGAGAGAGAGGTGGGGTAGGTAGGGCTGTAAACGAACTGAACGTTCGGCGGGAAGTTCGTTTATGTTCGTTTATTTAATATATGAACGAACATGAACAAAAATTATTGTTCGTTTAGTTAAATGAACGAACATGAACAATAGTCTCGTTCGTTCATTAATGTTCGTAAACGTTCGTTTATGATGTTCGTTTATGTTTGTTCGTTTAAGTTTATTTATATTCATTTATATTCAATTTTTTTATTATATTGCTATATTATAAGTTTGTTTATGTTCATATATGTTCAATTACGTTTTTTTTTTATCTTTGTACGTTTATGTTCGTTCGTTTATGTTCGTTTAGCATGTTCACGAACATAAAAGAACGAACATGAACAATATAATTTGTTAAACGAACGAACATGAACAATAAAATCTTGTTCGTTTATCCGTTCATGTTTGTTTGTTTGTCCGGCTAACTTAAACGAACGAACATGAACAAACCCTTGTTCGTGTTCGTTTGGTTCGTTTACAGCCCTAGGGGTAGGTTGTAATTTTACATTTTTTTCTAATTATTTAAATGCTAAAATAAATAAATAAAATGTTAAAAATAATTAAAAGGGCAAAGCTAGGCATGCACAAAAAAACCGGTCAAAGGGTAAACCGGTTTACGCTGAACCGGTCCACAGTGAACCGAACCGGTTTGAGAACCGAACCACCGGTTTACACCCGTTCGAGATTTTAGTCGTTGAAACCGGTTTAGAACCGGTTTATATCGTGTGAACCGGTTTGGAACCGAACCGAACCGGTTTAGAACCGGTGTAACCGGTTTAGATAGGTTCGACTAATTTTTTGAGTGAACCGGTTTGAACCGAACCGGTTTGAGGCTGAACCGGTTTTGCTTGGCTAGGGAGTGAACCGAACCGGTTTAAAGAACCGGTTCGGTTTGAAAAATGAACCGGTTTGTGCATGCCTAGGCAAAGCTGACATTTCAAGTCTTTCAGGGATTAAAACCAAAGAAAGTTTCTTATTTTGGACCTTCCATACAAGTTGAAAACTTTTTTGACCGTATCCAAAAAAATTTAAAAACTACAAGGACCAATTTTACAGTTTTGTCTATTATTTATAGATAATTAATAATGTATAATGTATAAGTCAATCTATTGCCCACGTTTTTTCACTTGAAATATGCCAATAAATAATATACTAGTGAAATAAAAAAATGTATAAGTCATCATTTACCTATAAAATTTATTTATGTATTCTTTTGTTTTTCACTTTTTTGGAATAAAAAGAAGGTTAGAACATTGCATTTAAACGAAATCACTCAAAAACAATATATTAAACTGATTGACACCACGATCATACAAGCACCCATCTGACACCGTTGACATGTATAATCATTTTACATAAAATTAAACCGAAATCAAAATAATAATAATAATAATAATAATAATAATAATAATAATAAAAAGTTCAGTAAATATGAATAACCTGCCTGCATACGAACACATGTATATATATGTGTGTGTGTGTGAAAATCAAGAGCCAAGAGTTTTCAATATAAAGAATTTCAAAATCTCATAATCACAACGCGCTTTTGCTCCTCTCTTTCACCATAGTTTGAACAAATAACTCTCCTGCCCTATACGATGATCGTACCTAAAATAGTTCCAAACATTAACAAATAAATCACTTTTCCATAAATAAAAAAATAGAACAATTTCATAAAATAAAGAAATAAAAAATAGTACCAAAGGTCCACTTGCAACATAACGAAACCCAATCGACTCCCCATAATCTTTCCAAAACTCAAATTTCTCAGGTGTAACATATTCTTTCACAGTAAGGTGCAATGGAGTCGGCTGCACATATACATAAAAATTTCAACCATTTTCTTTCAAACTTATAAAAAATAATCATATAAAATAAAATAAAATAAATAAACTCACCTGTAAATACTGTCCGAGAGTCAAAATGTCAACATCTATGGCACGTAAATCAGCCATTGCTTCTTTCAATTCATCATCAGATTCACCAAGTCCCAACATGATTGAAGTTTTAGTAATCATCCCTTTTTTACTAGCCTTAGCATGTTTTAGAACCGATAAACTCTGTTCATATCTACACAAGAAATAGCAATGTACTTTCATTCAGTTGTTTATAATTGAATAGATTTTCAAAGTACAATGCCTTAATGAGAAAACTCACCCAGCTCTTGGATCTCTTACAATTCGTTGTAGTCTTTTAACTGTTTCAATGTTATGGGCAAAAACGTCTAATCCTGAGTTAGCCAACATGGATACAGCTTCCAAATCACCACGAAAATCAGAAGTCAAACATTCAACCATAATCTCCGGCTTCCTTGTCTACACAAAAATAGCAATGTGTACTTTTATTTATTTGTGTATTATTATTATTATTATTTTAAATTGTGGAAATGAGAAAAAGTTATGTATTGTATTTGTACCTTCATTGCTTTGACAGTTTGAGCAAAATGACCACTCCCACCATCTGGAAGATCGTCCCGGTCAACACTGGTCAAAACAATATAATCCACACTGCAAGATAAATTTCGAAAACATTTCTTGTTAGGAGAATTGATTTAATAAAAGTACTCAACTTTATACACCGTATTAGTTACAAAACAAATCTTTCTTTTTTGGCAAATTTACAAAATTACCCCCAACTAACAATGGCTTCAGCGGTGTTTTGTGGTTCCATAGGGTCTGGTGGGGCAGGGTTATTGCTGGTTTTGACAGCACAAAATCTGCATCCTCTGGTGCATGTATCACCAAGAAGCATGATTGTTGCAGTTGCAATACCATCTTCACCTCCATTCCAACACTATAACAAGAACATAAATTGTAAATTGGTATTAAAAAAATGTGAACTTGAAAGTATTTGCTTATTCCCATACAGATTTGAGTGTTCAAATGGATATATAGTTTGACTGAAGTACCTAAAAGAAAAAAGGCAACTTTGTTGAACAAGATAAAGTCAATAGAATATGTCTCAAATACTATTAAAGAATATGACAGAAAAAGGTAAGTTTGTTGAACAAGATCGATAAAATCAATAGCAAATGCCTCAAATACTATTGAACAATGACAAAGAAAGGGAAGATTTTTTAAACAAATCAGGTAAATCAATAGCAAATGCCTCGAATACCATTACATGATGATAACAAAAGTGATGTTTCTGAACAAAATCAACAGAAAATGTCTTGAATACTCTTGAACTAAAATAGAGAAAATGGAATTCTGTTGAACAAAATCAGTTTAATAGCTTTAATTAGACTGGAGATTATAACTAAATAAATACATTAAACAAGAATATGTTGAAATGATCGAGAGGTACCTCCCCGATATTAGGGCATTGTGCTTCTTCACAAACGGTATTCAGTTTAAGGCGTTCTAAAGAATCTTTAACCTCCAGATACTTCTCTCCTTGTGGAGCCTTTTGCCGAAGCCAACTCGGTTTCTTGACGTTCGGATCCCTACCCGTATACGGACCCATACCACCAGGATATGGCGGCGATTTAGTCGAAGCAGACGACGACATTAACGATGATGGGTTTGCAATATCATCATTAAGATCGCTCTTCATCGAAGTAATCGAATTAGAATCAGTAGAAGAGATGCTATTGCTGCTGTTGTTGTGGTTCTTGATTGAAAAACGTACATTGTTGTAATTTTGGGAAGGAGTTCTCGAATTTGAGGTAGAATTTGGGAAATTGTAAGAAAGGGGTGTCTTGAATTGTTGAATCAGCATCATGATTTGTAACAAAAACAGAAAGAAAGTAAGAATTTGAGAAAAAAGGAAAGATTTCTCTTGTTCTAAATTGGTGAATTGGAATAAGGATGGTTCGATTTCACTTTTAACAATCAAAGAGAGACAGAGGAGGCGATATAAACTATGAAGAACGATACGTAAGCAAACTGAAATTGAAGGCAGTGAGAGTTGTAGATATCAACTCATAGCAGGGTAGTTTGGGGTGACTAGGGTGAGCAAACCCAAATCAAAAAACTGAAAAACCGACTAAAATCGACGAAACCGAAATCGAAAAAACCAAAACCGAAGCAAAATCGACGGTTAGGGTTTAAATTTTCTAAAACCGAAAATGGGGTTCGGTTTCGGTTTTTTACCCAGAAACCGACCCATCCAACCCAAGAAACCGACTCATACTTAAAACCGACAAACCGTCCCAAGAAACCGACCCATCCAACCCAAGAAACCGACCCATACTTGATTGTGTTTTGGTTGTAATAGACTATTTCGGTCTTTGGTCGTAACTTGTAATAGACTATTTGGTTGTAAGACTCATGTTTTTTGAAGTATTTAACTTCTTGCCTCATTTCTGGAAAATGGGTTTAAACCTAAAACCCATGGGTTTAAACCCAAAAACCAGCGAGTGTATGAGTTAAACCCAAGAAACCGAAAAACCGTCCAAACCGACCTCAAAACCCAAGAAACCGAACTGATAAGAAACCGATCCTATTGGGTTCTGAATACCAGAAACCGACCATTTATGGGTTGGGTTGGGTTTGGGTCCCAAACCGACCCATGCACAACCCTAGGGGTGAGCATATCAAACATCAAGTAATACTAAAGTTGTAACGCCCGCACATTCGGGCTAGTCAATTTAGAGACAATGAGCATCAAAAATGAGTTTTTGATGGAAGATTATTTAGAATGAATAATCTTAAACAAGTATTAGTATATGTTACAAGGGTTCCGTACATATAAATAACGCCCAAATCTGACTTCGTATGAGGAAGTTATGAATTTTTTAAGATTTGGCATAGCAGTACACGGTCCGAAACTCGAATTTTAGTTCAAGCGGTTTTTGGCCTACACAACCTAAATGAGAGTTGAAGATCTCATTAATAGGAACATAACGATAAAAAGACAGACGAAAACGGAGTTCGTATGAAGGAGTTACGAATTTTTCGCGGTCATTTAACAGTATAATCTCCTCCTATTGTTAAATTTAAGATCTGTCTAGAATTAGCCGACAGAGTCAAAATGAAAGTTGTAGATCTTGTTTTTACCTACGCGTGGATATAAAGAACGTCAAAAACGAAGCTCGTATGCGAAAGTTACGGGGTTTAGAAGTCGGCAGGGTGCTGCTGCAAAAGGGGTGACGTGGCACAATATAGGCCACCCACGTTTTGCCACCAGAATGGTGACATGTGGCATGGACTCGGCAAGTCAGTACTTCGACTCGGCGAGTCGATCAGATTTCCAGCCTATAAATAGAAGTGTCGGGTCATGCCATTTCCTCACACCTTCAAACCCTTCTTTCTCTCTCTAGAACCTCTTTCTAAGCCTCCCTAACCCCCCAAAGCCTAGGGTAACTCCCTAGCACGAGGCGGAAGCCCCGGAGCGCCCGACGGCTCCGAAAAGAAGAGCCTTCTGCTCAGAAACTCTATTTCGGCGGAGCCCGGTTTTGAGAAAAAACCCGCTGTAAGTAAGCTACGCATACCCTATCTTTAGTATAACTTATGTTTCAATATAGTAATGTTATTAGGACCTTATAATATATATTTGGGCTATTATTATGAGTTATATAAGTGTCGTTATAATATCTTTTTAACCACTCACGGTACGGGGAATCTGGTTTAAAGGGTCGCATAGGGTTGTTGGATTTCAGAAGTGTTATATGCCAAAATGGTCCTGCCCTCCGGTGTTTTATGTCTGGCCCTTGTCTGTATATAGTGGTTGAGAAATATTGTTTCATGCTTATATAATAGTAATAATAGCAAGACTATTAATTAGTCTCGGTGAATATTAGACTAAACTCTAGTGGTAATGATACTAGGTTTTGTCAAAGGAAAATTATGTTAAGAGTAACGAAGTGCTGTCCGAGTGCCGAGTCACCACCTTTTCAAGTGAGTGCATAGTTACTTTCATCTTACACATAGATATGAAGGATTTTAATTACGTGCTATGTGTGCATATTATTTGAATACTTGTTGTCTATACTGGATGAACAATTTTATATATGTTTTAAATGATTTAAACTGTATATGTATTTTATATCTACAAAATGTGTTGGGTAAAACATGGGTAGATGAAATAGTTGTTGTGTGACAAAAAAAATGATGAGAGGTGATATAGACCATGAGATAAGGGTGGGAGGTGAACCATGAGAGAAGCCTTTTACCCAAGTGTTGGCCCCGTCATCTAACAGAGTATGGATGACAACCACATACTATTCTAGACAGTCCAGTGGAACACTAGCAGGCTCGCAACCTGTAGGTGTTATTTGAACTGTGTATTCACCAGCTGTACTCTAAAAACCCATTGACATGTATTGCGAGTGGATTCTCGAAAACGACACTGTCGATAAACGATATAAAAACCCATTGACATGTATTGCGAGTGGATTCTCGGAAACGATACTGTCAATAAACGAGATAACCCTGGCAGATGCGCCTAAAGGACTCTACCGACAGAAGCGCCTAATAGAGAACCTCATAACCCCGACAGATGCGCCTAAAGGACAATGCCGGCAAATGCGCCTCATAGAGAATGTCACAATTCTGGCAGCTGCGCCTAAGTGATAGAACTAGCAGCTGTGCTTGACAGCTCTGTCATTGACAACGATGAACTTCGTACCCATTCCTTAGGATAATCCTTAGGAATGAATGAATGAGAAATAGCTGCTTCTTAGGGTAGATCCTTAAGAGGAAAGAAGATAATGGGGATGGGTAATTGGGTTAACTGTTTGATGATTAAACATAATAATTATATTATTGTGGGTTGAAAACCCTATGTACTCACCAGGTTTCCCAACCTGATCCACTCAGTTTATTTATATCACAGGTGTTGATATGAAGTCACATTACACTGAGAGATTAAGGAGATATAAATCACTAGTGAAAATAAATGTAAGTTCTGTTTATGCTTATGTTTCTGTATTGACGATGACATCCCAATGTTTTGAAAATGAATAAAAATACATTTCTTCGGAAATGCTTTGATAACATTTTTATCATGTTTTTCTGGGAACAAATTCCGCAGCATTTTTATTAAAAGGATACTCTGATTTTTATAAAGCATTAACAAAATCGTTCTTTTTCTAGCCATGAACATGGGGATGTCACAAAAGTCGTAGAGGGGCGGCTTAACTGTTTGTTCAGCTACAAGGCTAGTAGGTATTTGCAGTAAGGGTGTTTAGGATTTCAGGGTTATATTGTGGATACTAGGACGTGCCTATGGTTATAAATTTTCCAAACGTGTTTATGATGATTTGTCGGGAGTGCCTCCTGATAAGCAGCTCGAGTTCGGAATTGATCTAGTCCCAAGTGTGGCATCAATAGCTAAGGCACCTTATTGTCTTGCACCTTCTGAGATGCAAGAGTTATCCACACAGCTGCAGGAGTTGTTGGACAAGGACTTTATCCGATCGAACATATCACTGTGGGAACACCTATCTTGTTCGTCAAAAAGAATGATGGATCACACAAGATGTCCATTGACTATGGGGAGTTGAACAAGCTCACGGTGAAAACGCATTATCCACTTCCAAGGATAGATAATTTATTCGATCAACTTCAGGGTTCATCTTGGTTTTCGAATATTGATTTGAGGTCGGGTTACCACCAGATGAGAGTCAGGGATGAGGATATATAGAAGACGTTCTTCCGGACTCGTTATGTGCATTACAAGTTCGTGGTGATAACATTTGGGTCCACCAACGCACTAGTGGCTGTAACGTCCTTTAAGCCAGGTAAATGTTGAATTATTTAATTTCCTTTTGCTTAGACATTTGGGCCCGAGTACGTTAGTCGTACATATGGTACGCCGGGCGTACTGCAAAGGATGCTTGAGGCGAGATGTCACCCACGTACACTGGGCGTACCCATGCGTACGTTGGGTGTACGTCAGTCAGGAGCAAACCCTAATTTTTAGGGTTTGCACCCTATTTAAGCACATTAAGTCCTTCAAATCATTCACCTTATCAGCCTCCATTGTCTCTTGATCCATATCTCAAAATCCTAACCATCTTGAGAGTGTTCTTGAGCTTATTGAGAGTTTTTGGGTGTTCTTTTGTGATTTTGAAGAAGAATGAACTTGGTGGTGGTACATTGTTGGAGTTGGAGCTTCAAGATCCAGGGCTATCTTCTTCATTGCAAGCTTTTGGAGGTAAAAAGTTCTTACCTTGTTGGTTCCTTGCTTAGATCTCTTTTGGTGGGTAGATTTAGGAGTTTTGGTCCCTTGACTTTATTCTTATGGAGTATGGACTACTCCAGACCATTTGAGTTGTCTTTTTTAAAAACTTAGGAGTGCATGGATTCATAAAAATCAGATCTTGGAAGTTAAAAATCAACCATGCAAGAGTTAGTGACCACTTAAGGGAAGTTGAATGCTAAATCGATGGTTTGGGTCCCATTAAGACATGCAGGAGCATAAAGTTTTCAACTTTATGGCTTAATACGCTTTAATGAGCTTAGATCTGAGGTTGGACGTTAGATCTTAACGAATTAAGACCTTAAAATTAACCTTTAGCCAACTTGGGCGTACTCCGGGCATATGTGGGTGTACGCTGAGCGTATGCACCTGGAGTCCCGATCCTGCGAAGCGCTCGAGTACCCCGGGCGTACTGATGGTACGCTTAGCATCCTCACCAAAGAGGTTTTTGGGCCTTTAGTTTCAGGCCACCTTGGGCTTAGGGATTTAGGCCCTTGTTGGGCCACAAGCCTTTTTGTAATCGGCCTTTTTGGACTTGGGCCCATAATGGGCATGGAATATCTTTTGGGCTTTGGGCTAGTTGGAATTGGGGCTTAGTGTGTTAGGCCCAATAAGGCAATGATTAAGTAGCCTTTTTACCCTTGAAGCCGGGGTTTAGGATTTAGACTCTCGGGTAGGGTTAATGGCCTAATTGCTAATAAGGGTTTTACAAACAATTAAAGTGGCTAACAAGAATGATTTACAAACAATTA